TACCGGGCCAAACCGGGCTCTGCTGGACCTATTGGGCTGCAGTGAGCTGGGCTGTACCGGGCCAAAGCGGGCCAGCGTGTGCTGGGCTGAACCGAGCCAGGCGATGCCTGTCCAAACTGCACTGGGCTCTGCTGAGCTGAACCGGGCTGTGATGGGCCAAACTGGGCTGTACCAGGCTGAAATGGGCTGAGCTGCACCAGGCCAAACTGGGCTGTGTTGGGCTGAACCGAGCTAGGTTGTACTGGGTTAGGTGTGCTGGACGGAACCGGGCCAGGCTGTACCAGGCCAAACTGAAGTGAGCTGTGCTAGGCTGAATCGAGCCAGGCTGTACCAGGCCAAACCAGGCCAGGCTGTGCTAGGCTGAGCCAGGCTCTACTGGGCTGGGCTGTGCTGAACCAAGCTGGATTGTACTGGGCCATTCTAGGCCGAACCAGGCCAAACTGAGACAGGCCGTACTGGGTTGAACCAGGCCAGGCTGTGCTGGGGCATCCCAAAGGGCCCTGCCAACCCCAACCATTCCGGGATTCCGGGATTCTGTGTCCCGGTCGGGATTCCCTGCGCTCCGGGGGGACGCGCTCCCTCCCGCCGTCACCCAAGGGCCCCTTGGGCACCCCGCGGTGACGGGCGCCCGCGCTCAGTTCTACAGCGCCTCGGGGATGCCCACGAAGCACCTCTCGGACAGCGTGTGCGCCGTGTGCGGGCAGCAGATCCTGGTGGACGTCAGCGAGGAGGGCATCATCGAGAACACCTACCGCCTCTCCTGCAACCACGTGTATCCTTGGCCCTGCTGCGCACTGCTGGAATCACGGAATCATGGAATGCTCAAGGTTGGAAGGGACCTCTAGGGATCATCCAGTCCAACCCCTGCACACGCAGGGTCACCTAGAGCACGTGGCACAGGACTGCGTCCAAGGGGGTTTGGAAGATCTCCAGAGAAGGAGACTCCACAACCTCTCTGGGCAACCTGTTCCAGTGCTCTGGCACCCTCACCATTAAGAAATTTTTCCTTAAGTTCCTGTGGAACTTTTGGTGCTTCAGTTTGGGGCCGTTCCCTCTAGTTCTGTCAGTGGCCACCAGTGAAAAGAGGCCGCCCCATCCTCCTCACTGCCTCTCTTGAGGTACTTCTAGACACTGCTCAGGTCCCCTCTAACCAGTCTCATGGGGCCGGGAGAAGCCCCGCGAGTCCCTGGAGCTGCTCCCTGGTCTCCGCTCCGGCTCCCGCTGCTCCCGGGCATCCCGCCGAGGGCAGCGCCGGTGCCGCGGCCCGAGCCTGGCGCCGGGTCCGG